ATATATATATATATAGATATATATATGTATTGTATATATATATATATTATATATGTATATATATTTACACATTTCTACGTATAAAAAAAAATCCAACTTCTATGGATTTATTTATTTATTTATATAAATATTTCAATGTTTTTCCTAGAAATGTATATTTTGATTAGATGGAAAAACACTGAAAGCCGGATCCTACACTAATATATTTCAAAACCCACATACATATTAACATTTAGTTCTATTGACCCACAGTAAAATATTTCTTGAATAGAAAATTACTCACTACCAACGGTTCACTTTTCTATTCAACTCTTTGTCTGTGTGATATTAGCAAAAAATATACCAACGGGCTTCTAATGGCTGAGGGTGGCCAATAATAAGTCAGACTACCCGCTTAGCAAAGTGCAATTTTTCACCGCTCAAGATAATATATCTGTAGATTTGTAGTTTACAAAAATTGATCTTACTACTGCGTGTCAATCGAAACCACATACTCGTTTCAAGCAAGATGTAGTAGATAAAATTACCCTATGTAGAATGTAGATAGAACTAACGCTATCCCAACATGCTACACGTGTATTCCAAATTTTTACTTCACCAACATATTGAAGAAGTCATTAATTATTGACGCTTCCAGATGTTACCAAAGCATGTCAGTTTGACTGCTGTATACCTAAAAGCTTTGAAAAGATTTTGTCCAATCAAACGGTTTAACACTGAAACCCTGAATTATTTCGGCTTGTCGGCTGGAAGCCGATTCTGATACGCGGCCACTTGTTTTCTGCCAGCGTTTGTGCAAATGTGCATAGTATATATATATATATATTTCTTAAACGGCAAGTAAGAAATGTTTGGTACTTTTCCCAATAGATAGCTTTAGGGTTGCGTAAGTTGGGTAACACCAACTCCAGGTAGTATAAGACGTGATAGTCCCTAGCTATTAATTAAAAAAAAATTGGTGATCTGTCTAAATACAGAGCTTGGTCCTTTTTGAAAATGTCTCAAAATTCCACAAACCTTCTCCAGATATTTAAGTGTCACCTCCATGACGTCGCTAACGCTTTGCAGGCTTGCAAAAAAACTTCGTGGCATATATTTGGTAAAGGTGAAACTCAACAATTTTTTTTTTCTTCTTGAAATTTTAATGTTAAAAATGCTCTGCATTCTGAGTAACCAATAAGATCAACGAATTTTTTAAAAATTTGAGAAAGGTTGACATTTCTCATCTTATGATATCGTTATAGTACTAAAAATTGTTCCAAGCCAATCTTGAACCATTTGCACACGGCTGGATTCAAAATGAAGGTATTAAAGTATCACAAAAACTATTATAGACCGAATTTTCATCTACACTTTGCTGCTGAAACCAAAGGATATTCATCCATTTGTGAAGAGATTGATAACGATTGACGAAAAATGGGTCACTTGTGACAGTAACATGCGAAAGAAATTTTGGTATAAAAAATATGAGGTTGAAAAAACAAAACTTCGATTGACACCAGGTCAATGCTTTTTATTGGAAGGGATGTAGTGTATCATAAGGTATTTGAACTTGACCAGACGACTAATTCAACTACCTACTATTACCGACTAACGCGAACGAATCTCGCAATTGGGATAAAGTGTGAAGAATTGCTCAATAGGAGCCATTTTGTACGAGAATAGTTCCTCCAAAAAACACCATAAATGACGTAAGGACACTTGAGAGAGCCTAGCGGGAATTTTTTAATGTGTCTCACGTAAAGGCCGGACGCCGCCCTGCCAGACTGCCATTTGATTGGATTTTTGCAGGATCCTGTTAATGTTATACAGTCGATTTCAAAAAGGCTTATGCGAATCCCTTGGCTCAATTTCTTGATCTTACATACCGCATAGGAGAATGATTTTTACCGAGAAAATGGTAAAAAATCATCGATCAAAACGAAACATATGCAGCGTAAAGAAGTTCACTCAAAGAGACATATGTTTGAATACCATTGAAAATGCTGCAAATATTTTTCTTATCCCATATTTTGTGTTAATTTTTATTTGGTCAATATAATATTTGCACATTCTTATCTTTTTATATTGTATCCAAAACTTATATCAGAGATCAATTTTGCGCTCATATGGGCGCTCTTCTTTTATTATAGGTACATACCAGAGTCAATTGTTTGGCTTTCAACGAAAGGTCGATGCACTGAAGCTACTAGAATCATTCATAAAATTGCGAAATTTAATCGGAACGATGAAGTTGTGCAACAATGCAATTCTCTTATTCTTACTGAAAAGGATCAACCAACAGATACGGCATCAGGCGGTAACGACTCAAATGTACCGCAGCAAAAAATAACCATTGGAGCGCTAATGAAAAATAAGATTTTGCGCAAGCATTTGTTGTCCATGATTTGCGTCTGGTAGGTATCAATGTAACACAGTAGCGCCAAATTATTTCCACGTTTTTTTTTTCACATACTCTGCGCGCCCTTGAACAAAAATATTAGCGTGAGGGTCTTAATAGCCGTGTTATTATATCATTATATATTCTTCCTGTATTTCTTGGTCCGATTTTATGGCTAAAATATAACTTAAACAGAACCGGTGCAAATTTGAACATTCACTTTTAGACTTTGTCGCAAATTACTTTATATTTTTATATTGTTATGAAATAAGTGTGATTTTATCCAAATTATTTGGAATGCATACATGAAGGCAAAACAAAAAGAAAATACCGCAGCGAAACCCACAATAGAGGAATTAAGCAACCAGTGTCATTAAGCAGCAGGCTTAACTTTCAAAGCTTTTTTACAATGATCGAGTTAATTGTTGTAAAAAATTTGAATAGCTACATCCCAAATTTCAAGCATTGTTTCGAATTCACAGCACAAATCAGAAATAAACGGAAATCGTAGAGCGCAAACAAAAGCCGACTAAGTAACTACTGTTGTAATCTGTGAACTTGGATATTGGAACAATTTCGCACTGGCTAAACAGAAGGGTTTGAACATAAATCAGACCGCTCGCCCATATTTACAAGTCGATACGGGAGTGAATGCTAAAACAACGAAAGATTAATTAGTAATTTAATTTTTGGTATTCTAAAAGTGTCAGCAGGACTTCAGGAGCTTTCTACATCGAAAGCAAATGTGGGAACCATCAAAAGACATGATTTATTTGGAATATTCTCCTTACGCTTTGTTCACGTAGCTTGCGCTCATAAGCGAAAAACAGTACTGGAACGATTGAAAATCAATGCTTTTGACGAACCTTCTGATCTGAGTCTAACAAAAGTAATACCCAATAGTGCAAAAATTCGGGGCGTTATATTGAAGCGTTGCGTTGAGTTTCTGGAAAGATATACAGAGATCTAATGCGATAAAACGCAATGTTACAACTAAAGAGATTACTATGCTGAGGGCAACAAGCATGACATAAATAACTGAGTTCCATGTCGTTTTTCTAGCGACACATTTCTTAAGCTATCATAATACCTTGGCAAGACCAGCTCCTCACTATACTCGATGAACAAGTAGACATTATAAGAAAGGTTAGCGAAACCAACGTTATAGGTTGACAGTACTGCCTAAATTTGTAGCCGCAAATATTATAGATGAACTTATGAAAACTTATGAAAGAAAAGATATGCATTGGAAAAAAAGAATGTATTTGGGAGGAAGTACGAAGGAAAATTTTCATAATGAAAGAAGAATGAAAGAGTGGAAAAAACGGAAGTGGACTTTTTCCAATATGAAAAGGAGCCAATAAATCACGGAGAAAGCGTACCACATAGAATAGCAGAAGTAATCTTTATTACCTGAGCGTCATAAGGGATATACGTAAAGTGCTTTACGATGTTGATAAGACAAGCATAAGACAATATTATCATTTGGTAGAGCCTCGAAACTCAGTTGTTTAGAGAACGAATTTATAAGACAAAAACATCCGAAAGCAAGCGAGCATCCAAATAGAAACGGCCATTATAAAGGTCGGCAATGAATTGATCACTTTATGATGGTGATGTTTATGAGCTATAGAGAATTCTCTGCTTTTCGAAGATCGTGCGCAACTTTGTGCTATATTTGCAACGGCATTTTATTGTGTTATGATTTAAGCAAACTGTGCCGCGTCACACCAGATTCTTTAAAGTTAGAATCGTATAGACTTCTGAGAGGTACAACAATGTTAGCACCACTGTGCATTAAAAATTGTTTATTTGAATTTGTATCGGTTATCGTTAGACGAAACAATGCAGCATTGATCTGTGTGGTCGAATACGAATTTCACCCACGAACTTGGCGTCATTAATCTTAAGGAATTGAATTTAAAGTGCTAAAACAATCCGGCTCTTTGCATTTACGTGCATTAATTCTAAATTTTCAGTGTCACCAACAGTGTCCGCACGATGACAGATCGTTGGAGCTATGAACAGCTTATCTAAGACGCCTATTACAAGTGTTTTTAACGAAGTAGTATTTTAACAACATTATTCCTTACTATTGCTCACATCGACTACAATCGGGTTTGGTTTTACGATTGTATCCACTTCGGTTGCTTTACATATGGTTACGAAAGTCTGGGATACGGTTCATATCACTAGATCGTGGATATTTTTTTAAGAGAAATACACTTGCACGTTTTCACTACAAGACTATTTTATTTACAATACAGGTAGGACTATTTACATTTTACTGTGGCAGTACTCTTGACTTCTCATCTCTAACATTCTTTTCGATTAAAAAGTTCTTGTGCGACTGACTCTGCCTTCCGCAAATAGTCTATTTATATATACCTTTACAAACATATTAATATTACATAAGTTCATGGCTTCAGTTCTAATCCGTTAACCTGCTTTTCCGCTAAGCATTTTTCACGGCCGGCAGCTGCATGACGCACGACGAATGTGCGTTTTCTCTCTAGGGAATTTTTTATTTGGGAAAATCGATTATGTAGAATGAACTGGATTTGGGATTTTCGTAACAATATAATAAACAAAACTAACACATGCGAGTTGTAAATCACTTTTCGCTAGATACAAGTGATGGTACGGATATGCCGTAAAGCATCTTCCACAATGCTTTATCAAACCTAGCCATTTGATTACGTGTTTCGACGTTTTTGAAAACATGTTCTATCCATCGAACATCGTTTTGCGTTGTTTTTCCCAGAATATCAAGGGTTTCCGATTCTTCTACATTGACACAACGAAAACAAGGGGGTTGCTTCCTGTGCGCTGGGACACAGCTTTCGGTTTTGATGACGTTGAAACTTACCCTATCCGCGTGACCTTATTCAGACATTTTTATGAGATCCCGATTTATTGCATTTTTCATCGTACAGCACTTGTTCTGTACCTCATTGTTTTATGGTTTTCACTGACGTAAATGAAACGGCACAAGCTGCTGCCGTCTGCAAACGAGTAAATAAGGTGATAACGGTGGGTTTTACCCACAGGAGGTCGTTAATGAACACCACGAAGAGGGACGGAGCAAGAACAGAACCTTGTGGTACGCCTGTATTTAAATAAAATTTCATTGAAAAATAACGAAAGATTACAAGTATCGAGCGGTTGTCCAAGAAACTCGATATTAATCGAGCGAAAACGCAATCGACACCAAATGGAAGCAGCTTGGAGAAAAGGCATCGTGTCAAACTCTGTCCAATGTCTTAGAGATATCTAGGGCAGTGGCCTTTCTTTCAGAGTAGCGAACACCTCGGTTCAACTTTTCGGTGAAGTAGGTCTTACGTCACCAATGGCCACATTTTTACGAAACCCTTATTGTCTGTCGCTTTTTAGATCGTTGGATTCTACATAACTCATTCAAAATCTTGAGAATCACTGTTTTTACTTACCTGTATTTCACAAAGAGAGACTATATCTGGCCAAAATATACGTGTGGAAATCATGTTTTCATTTGTTAACAAAAATCGCAAGGCGATATCAATCATTGAACCTCCGTGACGTTAGCTCTAAAAATAATATAACTTTCTTATACATTGTATTTCTTCGTTTTCAACCAACAGGTTTAGTGTAACTTTATCGTACTATGGCATTTTATATTTCTTACCAAATTTGGCTGGTTCTCGCCATCTAAATTGGGAATATGGCGCTCTGATAGAACTCTTGTCGTACATAATGTCTTATTTTATATTTGCGGGTTTCGGCAGACGTTTACCGATGGCTTTCTTGCAATACTGTAATGGAGGGCTGATTTTGTTTATGGCTATTCTATCTGCTCTGCCTGCAGGCAGCTACAGTCAATGTATATGAATACAACACGCAAAAATGATTTTGATTGTGAATTTATAAAATATTTGTAGGGTGGATTGTAGCTACTGCGCTAACTGCCAAGGGCTTAGCTGTTTCCAGCTTTTGCGGTATGTTTATATTTGGTAGTGAGCTATTACCGACCGCTTGTCGGGGACTCGGCTTGGGGTTATGCGGATGCTCAGCCCGTACGGGATCTTTGCTTGCTCCTCAATTGATGGCTTTGGTAAGCTGCGTTTTTTTTTTAAATGCGGAACCAAACTCACTCGAGCTATTTTGCAGATTGGTATTCTCCCCACTTTTGTGCCATTGTCCATTATGTCCGGATTGTTGGTTCTGGCAGCAACAATTACGTTATTTTTGCCCGAGACCCTTTCGACGATTCTGCCAAATACCATCGAGGAAGCTAATCAAACATGGGGCTCCCCGGAAATTTAGATACAAACATAATTCTATATTCGAAAGTTTTTTTTACGGTTTTTATAAACCAATCACCACAAATTAATTGATAGGTGCAATTTGGTACAATTTTTAGAAAATAAACCAGTAGATATCTTTATTATTGACCAAACAACGGGTGCACATTCATTTTGTTAAAATACTTGAAATACCTAGAAGGAAGTCTTGGAGGCCCCATAACAGATATATGTTCACAAACCGCATTAAATTGTGAGTCGATATAAACGTATCCGCCTATTTTCCAGTCCGTTGTAGATCGTCCTCTGGATCGCAAAAATGTAGTTTGCAGATATAAATTTGGCAAAATATTGGAATAAAATCTGGTATTGAAAATCAGCGAAATCAAGCAGATAACGCATTTGCAGCGCAACATGAACTGAAAACATTTCAATTTTCAAAAAAAAAAAAAAAATGGTTTAGATGTAACGAGGAAACTTTCCACGCATATTGTACGGATGGTCTTGCAACACGGGAACAAACGTAACGAAAATCGGGCGTACCGGAACTATAACCTTGAATCCCCAAATTTAATTTTTTTGTTATGATGTTTCCAAAAAAAAGGTGGTGGAAAAAAATAATTCTGCCAGAACCGAATTTAATTTCTGTACTTTTTTTATCCCACTTTGTGAACCTAGAGTTATGAGTGTATAATATATAAAAATGTTTTTCATTTTGCACAGGTTAAAGTGAAAAATTTATGCCGCCGATAGCGGTTGCGCTTACGTACAACTACTCAGTTAAAAAATTCAGAAAATTTTGCACTTCGCTTGATAAGCATATATGTAACTGACTGATGCACTACCGATATTACCGGCGTAACTAAAAGGATTGATGTGAGTTCGTAAGGAGTAGATGTATTTTGAAGTGGTCCGTTCTATCATACTGGACTACTGTTGAGAGATCTAATTATTGGAAATCGTAATGTAAAATAATAGCAAGTTGTATTATATAGAATGTTTGCTTTCTTTTCAACCAATTTCGCATGAAACTTGACATGAAAACATAAAAAATTACATTAAGCAGGAACAAACTTCGCTTTATTCTCTTTTGGGTATTTCCCTTTTCTTATTTTCGTTGGGGTTCGCTCAATGGCAAGGAAGTGGGTAATAAAAGGGAAAAATGGAAACCTAGCAACGCGACCCCGTGTAGTAGACTGGACTACATTGCAACCTCAAGAAGATGTCGGTCTTATAAACCACAAAAATAAAAATCATTACAACTACAAAAAGAACAGCGAAACAGCAACAAAAATGCTAACAGCAACACTAATAACAACAGAAGGAATAGAAGCGTCTATAACAATAGCAGCACGAACATAGCGCTTATAGACAGATAAACAACAACGGCTGCTGCGGAGGCAGCAATAACATTAACACTTTATGCAAAAGTAGTTCCACCATAGACAATTTTCACTCGACCACCAAGCCAACGCGTAGGCAACGAATGAATATAATTCATTCAAGTATTATAGCTACTCAAAGTTGCTAACGGAAAACTAGCCTCAGCAGGAGAGCTAAGAGGTTTTATCGAGTTACATAGACAGATGTCGAAACAAAGATTACAGCGCAAATATTATTATTATTAATCTACCAAAACGGAAATACAATAGACACCGCATCCTGAAGATTTCTTTATATATCAAAGTTATCGAGAACAACACGGTTAACTAAGTATGATCGTCTTAATCATTTGGGTCGTCTCTTAAATTTCAATTACAATATGAAGCTCTGTCATATATTGAGTTTAAGCGCTGGCCCATCGGAATGTGTTTGGATGTAAATATCAGTGACCTGTACAATTCTGGATTTATTGCGTCGAAGGTTTTTGCATGAAATAATTACAACGGCTGCTACACTGATTGTTAACGTGACGTATTCAATACTAACATCATGTTTTGAGAATTTTTTTTTAATTCGAGTTTATGCTGCATACATGTAATTTCGGTGAGTTGTGTACTGACGTGGGTTTACATCTTTTCATTTTTTCTAAATTGTTGGCAATAAGTGACAGATGCACAATGCCTGAGTTAAGAAGCTCAACTATTCTGATATATGACTCGTCATCCAGTGCCTGTTCATTTCTGGTTATCTCATTTTTTTTTTAGTTTGCATCCAACCTTTTGATTATTAAATTGGGCTTGCAAAATTACTCAAAGAAGCAGCTGCATTGCCAGCAATGTCACGAATAAATTATTATCTGTCAATCACATTCTTTTAGTTTCGGATTCTATTATTAGATTTGCGGTTTGGACGTCGTTTTGATAAGTTACTGGATCGTCCTCAACAAGAACGAATGCAACACCATGGGTTGGGCTTTTGAAAATTTTAGAGGTGGGTTTTACATTCACATCTCGGATAAATCAATCATTCCTAGGATAAATATTTTTTATTCTGCCTAACACCATTTCATTGTTCTGCTTGATGACAACCATGTCGACTGATTTGGCGTTAGGAGATGGTTTCTTCCATTTACGCTGTTACCGTAGCTTATGCAAGTACTCAATAGACCCTCTTCTCCAAAATCCATGTTTCAATTGGAAAACGAATTCCCATGTTGACAAGAACGGTCACTTATTAGAACTGGCTGCATTATCTGTTTGAGCTGTAGGAGCTTCAGCGATTAATAGATGCCTTGGAGTTAATGCTGACGTCTCGGAAGGACTATTACACATATATATCATCGGGCCAAAACTCAATATAGCTTCTCACTTCGCAACTACCAGCTTCTCCTATGGCAACGGACTTGTAACAAAACTTCGAACTAGAAGATGTTTTGCTGACTTTCCTGCCGCTTTGCACCCTACCCCAAAAGAAGAAGCCCTGTATTTCCTTTGAACTGCATATAGTAACTATTGGTTCTTCCACATTTACTGTAAAGGTTGAATACGAAAGTTCTGCTCGTCTTTTTCTAGCGTCAACCAAAAATGTTGTATTATTACTGTAGATATTTTGACAACATCCTCTTCGGCTCATAAAGGATTCAGCTAATAAATCACTCACAAATTCGATATGAACTGAGTTCTGTGAACACCACGACATATCCTTTGGTTGATCACTCTCTTCCGATTTTATTATGTATTCATAGTAGGCCAAAATGGTTAAGGTAATTCTCACTTTGCTTGCCATTTTTTAAGTTTCCCTTCACAATTTCTCTTGCCGCTATCCTTCCTTTTTCTCATCTCCCTTATTATTCCTAATAATGTCTATTGATTACAGTGTGTGTGCATCACGCACCATATTGGATAATAAATTCATTGCAAGATCTTGATTGGAAGGAAAAAACTTTGGGTGCTTGATATCGAAGCATAGTGCCGATTCCGAGACAAACTGTAACAAAACAATATTTTGAAGTCATTTGGAAGACATTTGGCTACAAATCGTGCGTCAAGCTGTTTCAGAGTTACAGCCTTCAAATTTGGTTTTAAGCAATGCATGACAGAATAATTTCGAATTACCCGCTTTCATTTCTTGAAAGAACCCTTTGTTTCAAGATCAGTGGAAATTTGTGCACGTAGGCAATTTTGCAAGCCAGCATTCTTATCTTCAATGTAGAAACAGGTTCTAAAAACCACAAACGAAATTCGGAAAGGACCTTTGCTAGTAAACCTGTTAACGCAACGTCTGCTGTGTTATATTTTGAATTGACATGCCACCACTGCTCTTGTAGAATTAGCGACTGGATTTTTGATATTTCATTGCCAACAAACTTCTGGAATGATATTAATTAGGTATGTATTCATAATAGTCAGGATTCATTGGCGTCAGTAACCAAACCTAATTTTGTCAGTGCCCCTATCTGCTTATATTCATATAACTCCTTAAGTAAACGGCGTTTAAGGATGGCGAATCTCTTGTAGCCCATTTCCGTCTATTTTGTGAACGCACAGATATTCTCGCGGAAAGGCAGCCTAACAAAAAAATGACCTTGGCTAAAAGTCCAGGCATTTTGTACGATATGATCTTTGCATTACTGTTTATTTTGTGAAAGGCCCTTCTGGGAATCCCGCCAAGAAAAGTATTTAAGAAACTTGGAAGCTTATCGGACAGCCCAATATTTACACTTTATATCAAACTGAAGTAATGCTCTATGCTTAGGAGAGTTCACTCCTTTCCTAGTTGGTAGAAATTGGCACGGCTAATGCCTGTAAGTGCTCAAAATTTGTCTATCGAACTACGGATTTGATTATTTTTAGGGCGACACTTAAGTGCTACTTCGAAAGCTCGGGAGTGTGTCTCACGGACACTCCACAGACGGTTACATCTAAAAGAAGTATGCGTGCTATACCCTTATACGCATAAACAGACAGACAAAACATACTTACTGGAGGCCGTTGGTTTAGCCGTTCTATACTCTACCCTGCTCCGTGTCTTTCGGCCTATGATTTGCAATAGGGGACCCTGAAGGCGAATACGATGAGCCCTCTAATCTACCTCCCTCTCATAAAAATAAAAAACTAAAAATTAATATTTTTGTATACATATATATTTTTTTTTTTTTTTTATTTAATTCCACAAAAAATTTATATATTAATGCTTATATAATAACCAGGAGGGAGCGTATTAACTAACTTTCTAGTGTATAAATAAGATTATAATACTTATATGTTGAACAAATTATGTATATTGTAAGATAGCGGTGCTTATGTGCGGCCTAGCTCACGGCGGCAGAGCGGTTGCCCCTTCATGCCTTGCCCGCCGTACCGCATTTTAAAAATAGAAAGAAACAAAGAAAAACATAAAATAGGCAATATGGCACAACCTAATAGATCTATAGCTTTTTTCATGTTACTACTCGTCAATAGTATTATAATAATAGTATATAATAATAATATATCAGTCGGTGTTTTGTCTTGTCGGACGTTCAGTTGGTCCAGTCTTAGCCCGTTCGTCCAGACCGCAGTCTCCCTACTCATTCCTCACGTACGCTTCTTTCCCATGCCCCGCCTCCGCAGCATTTTATTTACAGAAGCATGATTTTGCTGTAATACCCATATTATAAGCTACAACAATACCTCTTAATCCTCTTATCACTTGTAACGTCCTTGAGTCTGCGACCACCTGATGACTCTCGCTCCTCTCCTTTCTATGATGGCTGCATTCACCTGGCTTTGGCAAC